AGCCCTTAGAGAAGGTCTCTCGGTTTCAACTTGTGTAAATATGACTTTGAAACACACTCTTTCAGAGTAACTTTTGGTTGAACACCTATCAGAGCTGCTGTGCTGCACTGACTGAGTGGAGACTAGAGGCTTCTCTGATGTCTAGCTAGCTTCTCCATCAGCCTGCATGTGAGGCATTTAGGTAACATCGGTAAATTGCAGTGTCTGTTGATAAACAGGTGTTCTGCAAGTGAGGCATCCATCCATCCATTCATTATCTATACACCGCTTAATCCTCACTAGGGTCGCGGGGGAGCTGGAGCCTATCCCAGTCGACTTAGGGTGAAGACAGGGGACACCCTGGACAGGTCAGCAGTCTATCACAGGGCTACACTTAGAGACAGACAACCAAGCACACTCACATTCACACCTACGGACAATTTAGAATCACCAATTAACCTCAACATGTTTTTGGACCTTGTGGGAGGAAGCCGGAGAACCCGGAGAGAACCCATGCTGCACGGGGAGAACATGCAAACTCCATGCAGAAAGATTCCGGTGCCCCCACCGGGATGCGAACCGGCAATGTAAAATCAATTTTTGAAAAAAAAATGTTAAATGAAGGCTAATCCTGGTCTCAATACTGAACAAAATAATCAGGATTATCATTTTGTCTATAGTCATGGAGCCATAGTCACCTTAAAGGAAATATTTTAGTGACAGAAAATGAAAAATGTTTCACACACAAAAACATTTTTTTCAGCTATTTTAAAATGTGTTTTTACTTTCTGAGGCTGATGCGCTCTCATACAAAATCACTGTAATCAAAAATTATTCGTCCTTTTCTCTTCATTCTGGTGAATTTCCCTGTATTCTTTTCATATATCACAGAAAAACTAAATATCTCAATGTCAGTTTTCCCCAATGTTTCTATCGAACCTGAACTTCAACTGAAGCTCTGTGAATCAAAAGTGAAGTAAAAATGGTATTTCTCATCTTTTTTTTTCCTGCTGCTTTCACTTGTAGTTTTACATTTTACCCTTCACTCCGATAGAAAGAAAAACATGCCCTGCAACCCAAATCACTACATCGCGAACATCATTTTCTTTCCCTCCAGCGTGGCAGCAGTCGGCGTCGTATCGAGCGGCTGTACCTGCACTCACTCCGGTGGGCCATATTGATGACAGTTTTAGTGTGTCACAGACAGACGGGGGTGTTTGTTTTCGGTGAGTGATGTCGAGACAAATAGGCTGAGATCTCATCACGATGTTCCTGAGAGGAACCTTTTGTGGGCGGAGGATGGCGCAGATAGTTTGATCCGGCTTTCATTAAAAGCCTCTCAGACTGAATGCTGGGATGGGTTTCTGCTTTTGTGAAGGACAGACGTTGAGATGCGCTTTTACTTTCAGCTAAAGGTGAAGGTTTGGGGCGGAGGCGGGGGCATTCTAGTCACGGGTGGAGAGAGAATTAATTTGCCCCTTCGCCACCAGTGAGACGGTTTCATGTTAGGCTTGTTGAAGCTGAGGATTACAGGCCCAACACGCGGGATTTTCATAACAGGAAGATTGTTATCGCGGCCGCATTGCTGGCATGTTAGTGATCCCAGCAACAGAGGACGAATGCTGAGATATTTCAGCCATGAGAATAATCAGGTTACCTACCAAAAGCTATTGATTGGTCGGAGGCAAATCTGCAGCCCTGCAATTACGGTTATTCGAAATTGAGAGGCAGAGCAAAATTTGCAATCTCCTCGCACAGGCTCCGCTCTCAGGCCTTAAGACAGAAGAAGAAAGCTGGCCGGCAAGATTAGGCAGCAGTGATTGTTTATTGACAAGACCTGCTCGCTGTATTCATTCAAAGACAATTCACGGTATATAACTCTGTCCAAATAAGCAGGAAAACCATCATTTCTCAACAATTTTAGCATCTCTGAATGGAAACACACAGAAAAATGTAAAAAAGCACGAATAAGTGACTTTTTTCACACCTGTGATCAACAAAACAAATCAGGTTTCCAACAAAATCCATTTGTCTGTGATTAATTGCAGGAAGTGCACAACAAAAAGTTTTTTACAAATCAGACAAACTCTTCCGCTGCACAGAAGTTGTAAGGTGAAGGTCAGGGTGGATGGTTGGGTTAGCAGAGCACAGGGCACAAGACTGTTGGCTTCCAAACACTTTAAACATTTTGGTTAAATATTTCATAAATCCGTGCATTCGCTCCACCGCGTTCTCCTTTCAATATTTAATATCTCCTCCTACCTTTAGCAAAGCTCCTTGAGTTTCCTAAACTGTAACCGTACCTTGAATAAAAATGAGAAAAAAATCTTGATAATGTCTCAGTTTGTTTGACCTTCATGAGGCGCGTTGGCAACTATCACAACATTTCCTGTAAAACAAAAGTTTTACTTATTTTTCCAGATGTATTTTTAGAAAGTTTGAAAAATGTGAGAAAATACTTGAGGTAAGTGAGAAATGTGACTGAAAACATATCAGCACACTTTAATAAACAATTTTCATTA